CCACATGCCCGTGTGGATGAACATGGCTTCTTTACATCCTTGGTTGTCGGACAGTCATACAGTTCAATTTTCTGGCAGTTCTGGGTGTTTTTCATTTTAAGGTTAGTTGTGATGCTTCTTATGGTTGTACAAGGGAGTGAAGCATGTCTACCTTTGCCGCCATCCTGACCAGAAGTCCCTGGGTGATTTCCTTTATCTGTGTCCTGGGCAGCGGGGTGTCTCTCCCTGGAATACAATGGCTCAGATGCCACCTTGATGGCTTATGGTCTCTTCTGGAGCATAAAGGTCCATTTGCTGGTGGCCTGGTCTCCTAGGGTCATGGCGGGCCATACCTTTAGTATCTGAAACAATAGCTTTTTACATGCATTAACTACTGGGCTTATTAACCATTACCTAAAACTAAAACTTTTCCATTTTGAGTTACCCCATCACAGTGATGACTGCAGTACAAGTCTGACCTAAAAGTTCACTTCAAGGACAGTCCTTTTTTTTTTTTTTTAACCACACATTTCCCATCCTTGGCTGGAGAAAGCCCCAGCAGCACCCCCGCCCCCTCAGGGTCAGGAACTGGCAGTGAGGTGGAGCCGCTTCCTTCTCTGAGCCTCCTCTGAAGTCAGACAATTATACAGCCCGGGTCTCTGCTTCACAGGAAATGCCAGGGAGGGTGCGCTGGGGGTGCCGCGTGGGGCTTCGGACGCAGCAGCTCCTGTTTGCTCAGAGATGTGGAATTGTGACTGTAGAATTTTGAGGCCTTTTAAAAAAGACTCAATAAAAATAAGAGATTAAAAATAGCCGATAAAGGTACAATTGAAGGTAGAGCTGAGTGAATTTTTACATATATCTCTAGCTGTGTATTTATTACCCGGACCAAGATACAAACCATTTCCAATACCCAGGGGCCGCCGCCAGGCCTGAGCCAGTGCCATCTTGTACTCTCAGCTCTGTGCAATCTCCGGGGGCTGCATTTCCCTCAGGCCTTAAGGCCAGGCCTGCAGGCAGCACCTCCCCACCCTCCCAGCCAGCCTCCCTCAGCCCTGCAAGGCAGGGAGCCGCATCCTATTTTACAGGCAATGAATGGAACTGGAGCTCAGGGAAAGCTAACACCCTCCCCCCATCTCTACCACCAGAAACAACAAAGCATGAACACTGGCTGAGCGAGGCTTTGGGGACATCCTTGGCCCAAGGTCTGAGAAGGGTTTTCCCTCCTTGCAGGCCCTGGCTCAGATGGTTGATGTCAGTAGCCAGGGAGGCAAAGATTCCTGCCATGAAGTCACACACATGCAGTCAGAAGGGCTTCCCTAAAACCGCTCTTACTTTGGGCCTCAGGTGCCAGCTGGCAACAAGCCGCTCTTTGCCTGCTCTCGTTTTCCCAGGGTCTGCCGGGGAAGTTTTTATCTTGTTTCCTAAGGCCAAGCAGGGCTGCGCACGCCTCCTAGGCAAAGGAGGGGTCAGCGCCCTGGGTCCCTCTCCGGCCGTCTCTGGTCTGCCATTCTGGGGTGGTACAGTCAGCAGACCCCATAAGTGAGCTTCTTGAGCCACAGACAGCTCCCTCCAGCAGTCCCCCCAAGGTGGGGGCACGGGAGGCTGGTGGCCTCTGTTCCCAGATAGAAGCATCCACGGAGCTCAGTCAGGGATAAACCTGACTGCAGGACAGTCGAGGCTTCTAGCCCTGTCCCTGACAGTGACCTGGCGATATCTCTGGGAGCTGGGACCACCTCGTCTGGCAGCCCCACGCTCCGGAAACATGAGCGTCCATTTGCAAGTGCCACTTTTGTTTCTTATTGTTATTTTGGGGGTTTTTTTGTGTGTGTGTGTGTTCTTTTTTCTTTCTTTTTTGCAAGCAAATCTTTTGCCCAGACAAAGGAAGACTTGGCATATTGCAGATAGACAAGAAGCAGTGAGCGCAGGGGTTTCCAAGCGTCTCCGTCCTCGTAGACCCGCTAGGTGGGAATTACTATCCCCGCTTTGAGGAATCTGAGGCTCAGAGGCTGAAGCTGAGAGAAGGCCTAGGACGTGCCAGGTGCTTCAAATCAGACGTGACTTTCTCCGTTCTCTCAACTGCTCTGGGGAGTGACTGACCGCCAGGTGCATTTTACAGCTGAGAGAACAGGTCCAGAGAGAGAAGCTGCTTGCCCGAAGCCACGCGGCTGCCGCCGAAGGCTGGCTCCGCGCCCCACGCCAGCTGAATCTGGCTCCGGCCCGTAGGGCCAGTGTCTTTGCGCTCTGGCCAGTCCTTGCCTTGGTCTTTGCTGCTTTGGGGCAGAGGCCAGACTGACCCTGCTGTCCCCTCGGGCAATGCCCAAGCTAGATCTTTCCCTCTTCCCTGCTTCCCTGGGGCCCTTCTAGTAAAGCAAGCAGTGTTGGCAAATTAAAGGCACAAGATCCCTGCCTTTGCCCTGGGCCCCCCCCAAACCTGGGGACGGGGCCAAGGGGGAGGCAGACACAGCCAGGTGAGGATTTTGAAACAAGGGCTTCAAAGAATGCCAGGGCACAAACTGTTGATGTGTTCTATGGAGGAGCAGATGGACCTCTGGGGAGGTCCCTGTAACCGACAATTTGCCTGGAGCCTCCCAGGAAGGTAAAACGATGCTCAGGAAAAGTTGGAAGTGTGGGCCTGTCTCCCATGGCTGCTCTAGCGAAGGACCACAAATTCAGCTGCCGAAAGCAACACAAATTTATTGTCTTGGGGCCAGTTCTGGAGGCCGAAAGTCCAAAATCAATTTCAGCGGGCTAAAGTCACGGCATCCTGGAAGCTCTCGGGAGGGATTTGTTCCCCAGTCTTTTCCAGTTACCTGCATTCTTCAAGGGATATCTTCCCTTCATCTTCAAAGAGTAACTTCCTCCTCCCTGACCTTTCCTCTTTCTTTATCTTTTCTCCCTCTCAGTTGCCAACATAAAAGGCATCCAAACCTGTAGAGAATTTTCAGAAGTTTATTTGAGCCAAACTGATGACATTTGCCAGGCAGCAAGATCTCAAATGCTGCAAAGAAGAACAGTTCTGGCAGCTTCTTTTGTGCATTTGGCAGGAAGGAGGGGACCTAAGCAAGATCACTCGGAGGTGGGAGAAAGCAAGGTGGGGGTTGGATTTCAGGAGACTTAGACTGAGATCCGTGGAGGTGCCACTGTTCATTTCAAAGGTGTGTTGACATGCACAGAAAAAAAGGAGCTTGCCTGAGGTAAAGATAAACATTTACTAAAAAGTTATATGCCTGTCCTGGCTGGTGTGGCTCAGTTGGTCGGGCATCATTTTGCAAAGCAAAAAAGGTCGCTGGTTGCTTCCCAGTCAGGGCATATGCCTGGGGCTTGAGTTCAGTTCCTGGTCAGGGCCTGTATAAGGGGCAACTGATCAATCTCTCTCATAGCGATGTCTCTTTCCCTTCCCTTTAAGAATTAGAAGAAGAAAAAAAAGTTATGCCTTGGCTGGTGTGGCTCAGTGGATTGATTGCCGGCCTGTGAACCAAAGGGTCACAGGTTCGATTTCCAGTCGGGGCACATGCCTGGGTTGCGGGCCAGGTACCCAGTAGGGGGTGTGTGGGAGGCAACCGCACATTGATACTTCTCCCCCTTTTCTTCTCCCTCCCTTCCCTTCTCTTAAAAAAAAAAAAAGTTAGATGCCTGAGGTGTGACTACCCACCAGGGCCCACCCAGTCAGGGATTTATGATCAGATCACCCTGTGAGGTTACTATCCATAGAAGCCCTTTTTTGGTCCACAAATTCTACTGCCTCCTTTTGTAGGAAAACTTTATGATTAAAGCATATTCACCCACATAATCTAGGGTGATCTCCGCTCTGCAAAGTCCCTTTTGACATGTCGGATAACACAGTCACAGGCTCTGGGGACTGGGACATGGACATCTTTGGGGGCCTTTATGCAGCCTACTGAAAATAGTGAAGTCACGTCGGTGTAGGTACGGCAGTGGCTCAGTTGTCCAGGCACAGCTGGGGGCTCAGTTCTCATGCCTAACACCTGCCCTGACTCTCGGGGAGGTGGGCGCAGCTCAGCAACGTCTGCCCCCTGTGGAGGTCCCGCCAGGTGCCCCGTTTTGCGGCACCCCCCCCAGCTGGAAGGCGTGGCCACACGTCCCCATTTTACAGACCGGGGCTGTTAAAGAGCAAACCACAGGCCCGATATGGCATCACTTGTGCTAAAAGGTCATGATACCAAACCTGGATTTAATACCGGAAGGAATCGCGGCTTAAGCGTCTCTCTTAATCAACCAGCCAAGAGTGCTCTGGGTGCTCTGGTCGAGCGCCGGCGACATGTCCTGTGGGCCCGCTCCACCCCCCGCGGCCCCCATTAGGAAGAAGAGGCACCATCATGATGAAAATGCTTTCCCCTCCCTTCCCCCCAAAGATTTCTGGGCTTCAAAATCAGCCCTTCTTTTCTTTCACACTTAGTTCCCTTGTCCTTCCCGACCCCCCTTCCTATAAACACCTTCAATTTTGTACGCCCCTTGGAGCACCCTCCTAGTTGCTAGCCAGCCTGATGACCGACCCATGAATCCCTTCATAAAGCCAATTAGAAATTCAGATTTAGCCCTGGCTGGTGTGGCTCAGTGGATTGAGCGCCAGCCTGTGAACCAAAAGGTTGCTGGTTCGACTCCCAGTCGGGACATGCCTGGGTTGCAGGCCAGGTCCCCAGTAGGGGGCATGCGAGAGACAACCATATTAATGTTTCTCTCGCTCTTTTTCCTGTTTAAAAATACATAAAATCTAAAAAAAAAAAAAAATTCACATTGACTCCAGTGAATCTTGTTTTATAAACAGGAAAAGATTAAAAAGTGGGAAGGGTTTGCCGGGGAGGGGTGGACAGGGGACTCCCCCAGGCCGCGAGCTCCCCCAAGCACCTGGGGTGAGAAGCGCCTTCCGCGGCTGGGAGGGGGCGGTGCCGGGCGCAGCCGGGCCTCCTCGCCGCTCTCCCCGCCCCTCTGGCCCCAGAGGCAGCTACAGCACAGCCGCGAGCTCGCCGGCGTCTTCGCAGAGCTCCCGGGCCGTCGCGATGCCTCCGTCCGTCCTGGCGATGGTCAGCGGCCAGGCGCTCCCGGCCTTCCTGCTGTGCGGCACGCTGCTCGTCCTCAAGATGTACGTGCTGGCGGTCATCACCGGCCAAGTGCGGCTGCGGAAGAAGGTACGTGCCGCCCGTGGGCTCCCTGTCCCGCTGCCAATGGGGTCTCAGCGCTGGGATGCGGGGGGGCCGGTGCCTCGCCCAGTCCGCAGGGACAGCTCCTCTGGGCCCCGGGGTTCAGCAGGATCCGCACCGCCCTGTCCTCTGTTTCAAGAACTTTCCTCCCTCGCTCGCTCGCTGTGCCACCAGCTCAGTTGCAGGCACGACGAGACTCGACGAGCGCGCCTGAGCTCCCGAGACACGGGCCCCCGGGGTGGCGCGAGAGAGCAGGAACGCTGCCCCGACCTGGCGGCCTCCCAGCACAGGAGAGCGGGGTTTGGGTGGAGTGGGAACCGGCGAAACAGGACCCAAGAGCTCCCAGTGGAAATTCCCCGCTCGCCGGCCGGGCTGCTTACAAACCCCCCGCGGCCTCCGGAGGCCGGGCCGGCTCTCAGCTGAACTGAGCTGGGGCTTTTAGAGAGGAATTTCGCCCTCCAGTCCGAACCTCCGAGCCCCTGAGTCCCAACAACGAAGTGGCTGAGCTCTGAGCCAGGGCGAGTGGGTGCAAGCGGAAGCCGCTCTCCCGGCCGCCAGAGAGAAGCTGGGGGCCAGGCTCGTTAGAAGCAGAGAGTCCCCGGGGGAACCGGCTGGTTACCCTCCCTGCGATTTCAGCAGAGGAATCATTCAGGAACGTGTGCCCCTTCATCGAGTTCAAAGCAAGGTGGGGCTGGCTCTGGCACACCCCGCCCCACTCCTGGGGTCGCAGGTGGGCACTGGGGAGCCGGGCCCAGCCTCCTGGAGGCACCTCACCCCCTCCCTCCCTCGGCGCACCGCGGCTGCGGGGTGCGGGCGCCCAGCAGGGACAGCTGCTCCCACTCACCCAGGCCGTTCTCAGAGCCCAGCACCAATAACCCCCACCAGGGCCTTGGGGTGGGCGGGAGGAGCTGTATGCACCTGTTTTCCAGGTAAGGCATCTGGACTGGAGGGGAGATGCTCATGAGTCAGAAGGGCGCACAGCTGGGTTTGAACTCAGGTGTCCGGCGGCAGGGCTGGCCCCGGGCTGCAGGGGGATGGGGCCTCGACAGTGAGGAGCAGGGCGGAGTTCTTCCTCTGACCGTGAACTCAGGGAAGGGAGGAGACATATCCATCTGAGTGCCTGTCAGCCTGGTCAGAGGGGAGTGGCAGAAGGAAATGTCCCCTCAGACTGACCTAGTCCACCAATTTCTCTCTCCTCGATGCTTGGGGAGGTGACTGTCGCAGGCGTTGGCTCCGCTGCCCACCGGTCTCGAACCCTGACAGGTCTGGGAGCCCGGTGTCCTGCGCTGCACACGCAGGATGGTGGTCGCAGGGCCAGGTGGATCCAGCGCCTGGTACAGAGTGAATGCTCCCACAGTGCACTCGCTCCTTGTAACTCGATCCCTGCGCGGGTGTGCCCCTGGGGCCTGCTGCGCCCCAGCTTCCATCTGCCCCACGGCTGACCCCTGGCTGGGCTGACTTGTATTCCAGTTGTCTTCCGGGTGACCAACCCCATGAACCACGAACTCTAAAGGCAGCTGCCTGCTGAATGCCGAGACCCCTTACAGGGTGTCACAAGTCACAGGCTGTGCAGAGCCATCAGGGTTGGTGATTCCATGACTTAGGGCCAGTGGAGAGAAGAATTCTGGGTGTGGGGCTCTGATCCCAAGACAGGCGTCAAGCCTGGGCCACATTCACCTCTGGGGGACGGCACAGAGGCAGGCCCACCAGGCAGGGCACACCAGTGCTTGGGGACAGATGCCACAAGGGCTCTTGAGTCAGAAGCAGCAGGGCTGGCCATTGGGTGGACAATCCAGGAAACCTGGTGGTGAGGCCGGGACTGCTGTGAGTGGGCGGGGGGGGGGGCAGGGGAGAAGGGGAGCTGGGTCACCCAGATGCCGGCAGGGAAAGCAGAGCGTGAGGACAGGCATGGGTCTTTGAAGACCCGAGCATGACCTTAAATCTTTGCTTTCCGTTGACGATTTGTTGAATGCTCATCTCGTTCTGATCCCAGGGCCTTTGCACATGCTGTTCCTCTGCCTTGATTGCTGGTGCTCCAGCCCTCCTTTCCTCTGGTTAATGTTGATGCATCCTTCAAGCCTCAGCTTTCCTCTCACTGCCTTGGAGAAGCCTTCTTGATCCCCAGGCTTGGGCGGGTCTTTTGTGAACGTTCTCAAGGCCAACCGTGTTTTCTCTTGCTTAACACGCACCACCTGGTCTTTCCTGGTTTATTAGGCTGTGAGTGTCCCACGAGCAGGGACCAGAGAGCCTTTGCCTCTGTGTGTTCAGCCAGCTATAACAAAATACTATAGGCTGGGCAGTTCACAAACAACAGAAATTCATTTCTGACAGCTCTGCAGCCTGGAAGTCCAAGGTCAGACCCCTGGCAGACGCTGTGTCTGGTGAGGGCCTGCTTTCTGGTTCTTAGATGGCTGTCTTCTCCCTTGTGCTCACCTGTAGGAAGGGCTGGGGAGCTGTCTGGGGTGCTTTTTAAAATAAGGGTACCAATTCCTTTCAGGGGGACCGCACCCTCATGACCTAATTCCCTTCCAAAGGCCCCACCTCCAAATACCGTCCCACCGGGGGTTAGGTTTCAACGCCTGAGTCCACAGCAGGGGCCCCGGACATTCAGCCCATAGCAGCCTTGTTAACCAAGAGTCCCAGCACTTCACACAGAGTAGGAGTTCACGGAGGCTGGGGAATGGGTGTGACCAGGCTGCCCCTTGCACGGACAGTAATTCTCAGCGGCCGCCTTGCAGGCTTTCGCCAACCCCGAGGACGCCCTGAGGCACGGAGGCCTCCAGTACTGCCGGAGCGACCCGGACGTGGACCGCTGCCTCAGGTGAGTGCCGCCGGGCCGTCTGAGCGCCGGGGCGTGGAGGGTCCCGCGGCCCAGGTCTTCTGCCTTCCTGACCCCTCACACTGCTCTACCCTGTTCATTGGTTTGATTTCTAATTGTGGAAAAGTAAGACATGCTGAAGGCCCAGGACTGCAGAGCTAGGAAAGGGTATTTCAGGGAATGGTCTCCCTGGCTGCTCTGACCATCGCGTCCCAGCCTGGCCTGCTCTCCAGGGCGGACGCTGTCACCCGTGTCCCCTGCACTTACAAACACAGGTGTTACGCTTTGTCCTGCGGACCCTCCAAGGGTCAGCCTCCGCTCACCGGTCTGCGCTGTGCGTTTTTCTCACGCAACAGAGACCATTTCCCATCAGCCCCCAGAGGGCCCCTTCAGCACCTCGGGGCTGCAGTGTTGATGTCATCGCCCTGCCGAAGGGACCCTCTTTGATGCGCCTAATTCCTCTCTGATGGGCACTGAGGCTGTTCTTTCTGTTATGGACAGAGCGCGTCAGGCCTCTCATGTGCCCCTGTGAGCGTGTGTGCGTGTGTGTGTGTGTGAGCGAAGCTGCAGGATGCAATCACGTGGCAGAAAGCACCGCCAAACGGAGCTCTGGTGCGGCTGCTCCCCTGGGGACGCATCAGCGCATCCGCTTCTGGGTGGACGCGTTGCCAACGTGACAGGTGGACATTTATGTCACCTCCTGGTTTTATTTTGCATGTCTTTTATTCCAAGAGAAAGTGAACATCTTTTCCTCTGCTTAACATTCCCCCTACTCAATCAAAAGCAATTTTTCTTATACAAAAACCAGAACTACTCATCGCGGACAACGCGCGTGATGTTGACAATACGGAGACAGAAAAAGGAAAACCACTCACGATTCTAATCCCTATTAACAGTTCCTTCTATCTCCTAGGTCTAAATAATTTTTATATTCTCTATAAACTTAAGCATGCATTGTATACCCAGTTTTGGGGGGGAGGTGGTTCTGATTTTTTTCAGTTAACATTATTTCATGAGCATTTTCCATGTCACTAAATATTACTCAAAAATAATTCTTTAAAAATGGCCGTGTAAAAATTCCATCAGAGACTAAGGGTTAATATCACGTCACCAGCCTCAGTGTAGGACTTCTGGGTAGCCTCCTCTCTGCCCTTTTACACCCGGGCCTGGAGAGTGGCGGCTGGCCGTCCCAGGGGCTGGGGGCTGTCCACGGGGTCCGTGGAGAGGTGGGGAGGGTGGGCAGTGGGACAGGAGCGAGGCAGGAGACAGACCCTCCCATGGGGTTCCTGCATCACAGGCCGAAAATGGGGAGATACTGCGCTCTTAGTAGCACAGAGTGTTTCCGTAGAAGAAAGTCTGTTGCTTTTTTTTTCAATTTTCTTGGTTACTGAAAATAACATACACACTTCTAGCTTTTACCTATTACAGAAATGTTTATGTAAGAAATGAAATTCCTGGCTGGTTCACCTTTTCTAATATAACTGCGGTATGTGGTCCTTCATGGGAGGCCCATCCATCTGTCCGTCATCCCGTTAGCATTTAATGAGCACCTACTATGTACAAGACACTTTGCTAAGACTCAGTTGTGCTTCAGTGAACAAAATCCTTACCCACATGCGAATCCATACTGGGGACCCTGTCCCACCCTCACCCTGGGTCAGCTTCCCTCCCTGGACAGTGGTGGACAAGGATAGTCGAGGCAGCAGCTGCCCAAACCGGGCAGCCTGAGCCGGCCCACAGCCGCCACTAGGGTGTTCAGCTTCTCCCAGGGCCACACTTACCTGTGGCACAGGAGTGGTTACGTGGGTTTGCAAACACTTGGTTTATTTTTACTGGCTGTAACCGTGTCCGTGACGGACATATCCGCCACCCAATTCAGTTTTTTAAAAAATCGATAGAGAGAGAGAGAGAGAGAGAAAGACATCGTTTTTTGTTGTTGTTGTTGTTGTTAGTTCTACTTATTTATGCATTCATCGTTTGATTCTTATATGTGCCCTGACCGGGGATGGAACCCGCAACTTTGGTGTATCGGGACAACGCTCTCACCAACTGAGCCACCCGGCCAGGGTCAGTTTTTTCTTCTGATCACAATTACCCACCACCTGCAACAGTAGTGATGTTAAAACGGTCGAGATTCAGTTCAGCACTTTCTGAGCACCTCTTATCTACTAATGTCTTATATCCATTTGGTGAGTATTTATGGAGGACCTTCCATGCCAGACCTGGGGTCCCTGGACCCCGGGCTCCTCCTCCTCCGGGCTTCCCATAACATCACAAACTTGAGGAGGGTGCAGAACTCAGAATCACATCCTGGCGTCCGCTCCTCGAGAGCTGGCTGGAACCGGTTTGGGGGCGGGGAATGCCCTGGAAGTGGAAACTAGTTAAATATTAGACCAGCGCTCACAGGGGGCTGGGCCCCCTTCTGCACAAGCAGGAAAGCCCTCAGGTCTCGGTTCTGGGAGGGTAGATCTGCCTTGCAGAGGAGCGCATGCCGGAGCCCAAACGCGAGCCCCGCTCAGCAGGTCAGGAGCCAGTTCTCAAGGGAAACCGTGAAGGCCACCTTCTAGGCGGCCCACCCAAGTCTCTGGCATCAGGCATTTTGGCCAAACCTGAGTCTGTGTGTATGAACCTGCAGTGAGGGGGAAACCAGAAAAGTCGGCGTGCGTGCTGGCTGTCACCACCAGACCCAGTAGGCAGCAGCAGGGATTGAATCTCGATGGGCACTTTACCCAGGTGGCCGGCAACCTGAGGAGCTGTCAGGTTATGTGCCCTAAGGGACCGTCTCACGTCTCCTTTCAAGCCAGCCTTTTTATAAGGGGGAAAGAGTGGAGGTGAGGGATTTGGAATTCAGGAGAGAGGTTAATCAGATAAAAGCTGCAACCCAGCAATTTCCCTAACATCCTTTCATCTGTTGATGGGTGATCTTCTCTCTGCGTCCTGTGTCCTGGGTGATTTTCTTTACCTGTGTACTGAGTGGTGGGATGCCTCTCCCTGGAACACAATGGTTCAGATACCTTCTTTTCTTAGATTTTATTTTTAGAGAGAGGGGAAGGAGGGAGAGGGGAGAGAGAGAGAAAGAAACAGTGATCGGTTGCCTTTCTTACACACCCCCCAATCAGGGACCTGGCCTGCAACCCAGGCACGTGCCCTGACTGGGAATCGAACCAGCAACCATTCAGTCCTCAGGCCAGTGCTCAGTCCACTGAGCCACACCAGCCAGGGCTCCGGTACTACCTCGATGGCTTTATGGTCTCTCTTGGAACACAAAGGTCAAATTGCTTGTGGTCTCCTGGAGTCAGGGTGGGCCAAACCTTCAGTTCCTGAAACAAGAGCTTTGTCCATGCATTGACCACTATGCTTATTAACTGTTCCCTAAAGCGAGCATTTTCCCACCCTGGAGTTCTCCCATCAAGGGGGCTGTCTGGGTGGTCCCAAAGAAGGGAGACAAATGCTTGACCAGGCCCTGAACTGTTTCTGACCATTTGGAGTGTGTTGACTTTATCTGAGTGACAGGAGATCGGGTCCCCAAATCTCAGCCCTGAGACATCAGCCTCTATTGCTTTTGGGGATGGTGAGTGGAGCCCCCGGAGGGAGGGAGGGAGCCGTGCCCGAGGCCAGGAAGCGAATCAGCGCCCGGGCAGGACGCAGGCTCCTGGCCCAGCCCTGCCTCTCTGCCGCTCCGCCCAGTGGTTTTTATTAATTTCGCCAAGGCGGCTGAGGGCGGTCAGGGGTCTGGCAAAGCCAGGGTGAAATTAGCTTCCACAGGCAGAGCAGGGGATGGTGCTGACGTTGACAGCAAAGAAGGCAACTAAGTGCTCCTACTCAGCGGCAGGTGGCGGTCTAAGCCCTTTTTTTAAGCTTAAATTTTATTTTATTGTATATGCTATTGTAGATGTCCCGTGTCCCCCCTTTGTCCCTCTCCACCCAGCCCCCCTCTTCCATGGAAGTCCCTACACCCATGTCCACGGGCATGGACCCTTCATGTGTGTCCTTGGACTAATCCCTTCGCCTTCTTTCAAGAAGTCCCACCTTCCCCTCCCGTGCAACAGTTCTCAGTCTGTTCCATGTGTCCATGCCTCTTGGTTCTACTTTGCTCATTAGTTTATTTGTTCACTAGATTCTTTTTATTTTTTACATTTTTATTTATTTTTGGAGGGGAAGGGTGGGAGTGAAACGTCAGGGTGTTGTACACCCTGAGCTGGGGACCTGGCCCACAACCCAGGCATGTGCCCTGACTGGGAATCGAACCAATGACCTTTCAGTTCACAGGCCAGCGCTCAGTCCACTGAGCCACACCAGCCGGGGTAAGATTCCCTGTGAAAATCATAGGGTATTTGTCTTTCACTGACTGACTGACTTCACTTAGCATAATAGTCTCCAGTTCCATCTAAGTACTTAATAGGCACCAAGCCCCTGGGCTCCCCCAGGGGCCTTCCCAGGAGGGAACTCTCGCCTACAGAGGGAGAAACAGGTTTGCTGAGTCCAGGAGGCCACCGTCTGCACAAAGGCGATTTTACTCTCTTTTACACCTGCCTGTAAAAGTAGGCAGCCTTCCTGATGTCCCAAACCCGATTTCCAGGGAATCGCCACCGTGTGTGCGGAGAGCAGGCGCGGGGAGAGACCTATGCTGCCTCCAGCTTTGCCTCCGGGGTAGCTAGGTCTCCCTCTCCCACCTCGCCCGATGCTGTAAAATGCTGCTGGTGTGGCAGCGGCTGTTTGCGGGGGATGGAGGACAGGGGGATGCAGGGAGCGGGCCCGAAGCCACAGGAAGCCCGCAGGAAGCCACAGGAAGTCCAGTCTAGCGGGGCCGCTTTGGATGACTCCTACATTAGGACCGTGGTGGTTATCGGAATGACACGTTTTGCCCAAGTGTCTCTCCATCCAGATCTTGGGCGGCGGGGAGGGGGGAATATGTTTTCTTGCATCATCCCTAATTTCCCCACGTCTCGCTGTCCGGGACACCGCTGTGGAGTGACACACAGCAGAGGGGAGGCGGGGCCTGGCCAGACCCCAGGGCCAAGCGCGCGAGCTCCTGGCGCTGCTCAACCCCTGGCCCCCCTCCGTCCTCACCGGTGGCCTCTGAGTCTTCTGCTCCCAAAGGCTGACGCCAAGACCTGGGGCTCTGCTCCCCTGCTTGGTTTCCTGCAGGGTCCCCTCCCACCTCGGGCAGGGCAGGCGCCCAAGCCTGCGGGGACTGTCCCCTCCCTTATCTTCTTCCCCTTACCTGCTCTTTGCGGTTTGGCCAACTAGTCTCTTAACTGTTTCATTTTTCCTGAAAAAGGACTCACTCTAAAACCCAAATAGATACTTGAAGGAAAAGTGAATGAATGGGTTTCCCAGGCTAGTTATGGTTTTCTTGAAGATTTTAGATAAAAATATGTAGCTATGACAAAAATTACATATTTACCTAAAAGCTTCAGGAGACGCGTAACCAGCCTGTGAAAACCATTCATTCATCCATCCATCTACCCATTCATTCATTCATTCATTCACTCACTTTTCCTTAATGTACGTCCCTGTGCCAACAACACCTGAAACCGCTGGAGGCAAAACTGCAGCTACCCTGTCCGAGAAGGCAGGGGACTTTGCAAAGGAGAGTCATGCCGGGGAACTAGAGGCCGCGGGAAAGGAGGGCCGACCGGGAGATGGGCTGACTCCACACACAAGCCACAGGCAGGAGTCTGCAGGCGCCGAGCAGGGCTGCTGAGGATGCTGTGGGTGTCACTCACTCACACGTGTGACACCCACGACAGAAATACTTCTCTCCAGGTGGCTTCACCTCGTGGGAGGGCAGACACATTCTGGAACACACTGACTGAACCTAAAACAGGTTTTCTGAATGCGTCCCTCTAAGAGCAGATGGGGGTGTTGGCACCACAGGTCCGTTCCCACAGGGTGGGGCGGTTTTAGAGGCGCGCTTGCCGCCGCCTCCCTGTAACTCACAGGTGAGGAAGGGACTTGCTTGATTAGAGAACTGGAAAGGTCCTTGTCCTCAGTTTCCCTCTCTACCTCTTCCCTGTGGCCAGGGTCCAGCCAGGGCCTCCTCTCTCTGGTCTGGGAGGCAGCAGCCCCGACCCTACCCCCACTGGGTGACCCCTGCCCAGCTGGAGACCGACTTTCCATGTGGCTGCGTCCCAAGGTTGAGATTCCAGGGAAAAGAAGAAAGGTTTATGTGGGCTCTAAGATACAGGGACAGAGACACCAACTGCTGTGTCCTGAGTCTGACCTAAGAAAGACCCAGGCCCCGCCAGGTTCACGGGAGCTTTCGTACGCTCAGGTTGAATTCCAGGCTCCTCACCTTGCTTCTCAGGCCCCCTCCGCACTCTTCCCCGGCCCTGCTTCCTCCCCTGCACCCTGCTCCAGCCACACGGGCCACTTTCCTAGGCCTCGAATACACTGTGCTCCTCCCACCTCAGAGCCTTTGCTCGGGCCAAACCTGCTCCCCCTGCGGGGATAGCCCCTCCTCGTTCAGGCTTCAGTGCAAACCTCCCCATCCCCGGCCACACCCACCCTGCAGAGACCCCTCTAGCACTGGATTGCCGGGGGCTCCAGGTCCCTTTCCTGCCGCGCCCAGCCCAGTTCCTTTCTGTCTGGCCACATACCACAGCCCTCACCTGAGGCTGTGCGGCGGGTCACCACCCAGGGGTGCTGGGCTGGGGCGTTCCAGCCGCAAGGCCTGGAGAAGGGGCTTCTGCTCCAGCGGAGTCCCTGTGCCTCATGCATGTGGCCTCTCCTGAGGGGGCGTTCCGGCCTGGGCACAGGGCTCCTGAGCTTCCAATGCGCCATCTGTGGCTTCGGTCCCTTGCTCAGTCTCTAATTAATGGGACCAACCTCCGCACCCCCTGTAAAGAAAGCAGCCCATCAGCAGGAGTCATGGAAAATGTGACCCGGCCCTTAGCTGAAGTGGGAGAGTTTGCTTTCTTGGTCATTTGTTTATGGCAGAGTTATACACAGGCCGCCCTGTGCCCCGCCCCCACCCGCCCTGTGCTCACACACTCGATTACTTTAAACAAAACAAAAAAAAACAGGACAGCACCGATGGAACAAAGAGCTTCGCCAGGGTCCGCAGTGGGTGGGTTCCAGTGAAGGGAAGCTGTTTTGTTATTTTCCCCGAAAGCGTGAGGGGATCCGCTTTTGTTTGGAGGCAGACAGAGAAGCAGGCACGGATTCCAGACGCAGGCTCCTACGCTCCAGCCCGCCACACCCAGGAGGGCCCAGAGACCTGCGCTGGGAAAGAGGGCGGCCTCTGGGACGCCGGGCCTTGCTGGTGAAGAGCGTGAACTCGAGGCAGACCCAGTCCACCCGGCTCTCTCTCGGCCCCTCGGAGCCCCGCTCTTCCCACGCAGGGTCCAAGGCCAGAGGACGAGGTTGGGGAGACTGGCAGGGACCCGGTCCCCGTGAGCCCCTGGGCTTGGTAAGACCACCCCAGCCCACCACCCACAGCTCCTCCCCTGGTGGTAGGGCTGCTCCCCCAGCTGCTGGCGGGGCCGCTGGGGAGCTGCCACCCCTCCCACCTCGGGGTACCTCTTGTCCTGTCCACAAAGGGACTTGAGTCTGGAGCCCTTGAGACGACTTCCAGTGATGCAGGGCCTTTCAGGGCAGAGGGCCCCAGCTTCTGTGACATTCTCAGAGCCGCCACCCACTGACTGCCTGCTCTTGCCTCCCCAGAGCCCACCGCAACGACATGGAGAACATCTACCCCTTCCTGTTCCTGGGCTTTGTCTACTCCTTCCTGGAGCCCAACCCTTTCGTGGCCTGGATCCACTTCCTCCTCGTCTTCCTGGGCCGCATGGTGCACACCGTGGCCTACCTGGGGAAGCTGCGGGCGCCCACCCGGTCCCTGGCCTACACGGTGGCCCAGCTCCCCTGCGTCTCCATGGCCCTGCAGATCGTCTGGGAAGCAGCCCGCCACCTGTGACCAGCAGCTGACACCTCGGCCGCCAGACTGCTGGCCACCATCCACGGGGCCGTACTTGGGGAACTGGGTGTCCTCTCGAGATTGGGATAGGCCCGGGGCCTGGTTTCCTAGCAACCTGCAGAGTGTGGGTTCCTGGGCCGGCTGGCCTGTGCACGTGCGCACCCTGGATGCCTGGGTGAAGTGGCCGATGGGAACCGCTCAGAGACGGGTCGTCAGGATTGAGAGACAATCCCTGCACTTGGGTGACAGCACCAAAAACACCACCCCGTCTCTCCTCCTGCCTGAGAACAGGCCGAGCGCGCGGAGACTCACCCAGGTCCCTACACCTACCGGCCGTTGGGGTCCAGAGCTATAATAAACGCAGCCTTCTCAGACCGCCCTGGGGGTTCTGGTTCGGCCAGCCTGGAGGGGAACCTGGGCATCCGCATTTTGAGTAAGCTGCCCCGTGAGTCCCGGCCAGGCTCAGGCCTGGGAGTGACCGCCAGCCCCTGCAGAGGCCCAGGGTCAGCCGGGGTGTGGTTTTGCGGTTTCTCTAAAAGTGGGAGTTTGGCGGGGTGGGGTGGGGTTTCTCACTTTTGTGTCCCAGTGACACCTCCCTGTGCTCCCCATATTTCTTGGCTGGATCCCTCCTCCTCGGAGCAGGTGCTGAAGGGAAGGGCTGAGGTGAGGTTAGCCCCCTCTCCCTGAGGCTTTAGTCGCTCCTAAGGGCTATTGGTCCAGGACCATGGGCTTTGAATGACCCGCCACTTAGACACTCCTGGCTCCTTCAGTCTCTGCAAGGTTTGAAAATCGCCAGTGTGCACCAGGGAATTGTGGGCCTCTCCTAGACTCTCACTGTGGGACACATGTGGCTGCGTCCTAACCACTCCATCCTACTGTCTGGCTCTCCCTACCACCACCCCTCCACCCCGGCCCTGCCCTTTACCCCAGGATCTGGGCAGCCGCCTCTCCCAGCGTTCTGCAGCCTCTGAACTCCTGCCCTCCCCCGGACTGATGGAGTGGGAGGGGGGTCATTGGAAATCCGGATGAGCCCCCTACCCCCCCGGAGCCCGGACCGCGGAGCAGGCGCGGATAGCACTGCCCCCTGGTGGTGAGACAGCCTCCACGCTTAGGCTGCCGCTGCCCGCGAGCAATCGAGCCTGCCTACCCTCTGGGTCTCCTGTCTAGTGCCTGCTGTTTGCCGAACACCTGCTGGGCACGGTCCAAGACTTTTTTCACTCCTTAAACCGGTCCCAGGAGGAAGGGGATGTAGATATGGAAGTAAGGCTCAGAGAAGCAGACGTCGCGTGTGTTTTTATATTTCTATAGTTTTCCTCCTAGGGGAAGGGGCTGAGAGGGCAACATGCCCAGCCTGGACCCAGAGGAGGAGGGCATCGGATGCCACTGGGACCCAGGTGGAGGGGGCGGGGCCACAGGGATGCTGAGCTCCGTGTGCCGCGGCCCATCATTCACTAGTGTGGCACCTTCTCCTATGCTGTGCCCAGCCTGAGGGCAGGGACAGCTGTGGGCAGTGGGACAACAGACAGTGACACCTCATAGTGCTCAGCACCTTAAAGGGGGAGATGGTGCAGCCGGGGTACAGGGAGGGCCCTCCAACCGCTGTTTGCGGGGAGCTTCTCAAGTGAGACGGAAACTCCCCTGAGATGCAGGGTGACTCACACTGGTTTGGGGGGGTGTCCAAAGATGGGCAGAGTCTGGGCCCCTGGGGTCTTGTTGCTGAGAAGCGGAGGGGCGGTGTGGGGGGTGTGGAGGGGCATGAGGCTAAAGGGTCCGTGGGGGCTCACTTGGGGCTTTGGGCTTGCTGGGAGTTCAGAGCCTCGGAGAAGGGTCGAGGAGTCGGGCTGGGACAACGTGCCTGTGTCCTCAGCGGACATCTGAGACGGCAGCGAGGACAGCGGCTACGTGGGGCCAGCAGTGGGCAGTGGGCACGGCGGGTGTGGTACAGCCCTTCTCCCAAGCAGCATGGACAGAGCGCTGGCTGCCTGCCCGGGAGCTGGAGGGCCTGGGGGGAGGCAGGCACGGCCCCGGGCATGAGGGGGTGCGGCCCAGGGGCACTGGCAGGGGGCAGCCGGCAGGAGCTGAGTGCTGTTCCCCCACCATGTCCGAGGCAGACCCAGCCCTCCAGGACGGGGAAGGGCAGGGGACTGCCTCCCAAACGCAGCAGTCCCTATGCCTGGACACTGGACCCAGGAGACACAACGCCTATCTCCCCCAGCAGCCGCAGAGTGAGCACAGCAAGTGACCCCACTCGGATAGGCGGCCTGGAGGTCAGGCCTGCTGACCCGGCCGGAGGCGGCCATCCTCAGCTGCCCTCTGAGGTCACAGCGGGCACTGCCAGCCCTCGGAGCAGCTCCTCCCTGCTGACCCACGGTTAGGGCTGCTGTGATGTAGGGGAGGGTGCTGGGCAGTGGCCTGGGGGCCTTGGGGCCACAGCCCCGGGCAGGAGGCCTGGATTTGCAGGCTGAGCCCGTGCCTGAGACGCTGCAGCCGCCCCTGGTTGGGGCGGTGGGGGGTGCTCATGTCTGGGGAGGCCAGAGACAGGCTGGAGGGTCATGCAGACCCCAGGGTCAGGGCGCTGGGCTGTGAGTGGGGTCCATCTCCCTGACACGCTGCCAGTTTGGTCTAATGCTGTAGACCCTATTGTGCCCACCCTGGTACACATACCCAAGGAGGAAGCCGGAGACAGGTACTGGCTGGTGCGCCCTGTCCACCCCAGCTCCCCAGCCTCCCATTGGGGCCCCTCCGAGGAACCCCTGGGGCTCCCTCCTTTCATGAATTTCTTGGCTTGAGGCTCTCAAGAGCGTCCCTCCTGTGTGAGGGACTGGGAGGCACAGACAGAAGTAAGGGAACAAAGGGGCCCAGTCTGCACAGTCTGGAGGCAGGGACAGAACCTGGGGACTCCCCGGGGAGGCAGAGCCCATTTCCCGCCTAAAATCCGGGGACCCTGGGGCCGCTGCCTGTCTGTCCCCAGGAGGCCACTGCTCTTGGGAGTGGCCTCGCAGACCGGCCAGGGCAGTCACAGGAGAGGGAGTGTCGGTCGGGGCAGGTGGAACTCCAGGCAGGCTTCCCGGGAGAGGCGGGCTGGAGCTGGAACCTGAAAGGTGGGTGGGCTTTTCAAAAATTGTTAATTACATGCGCTCACACATCATGGCCAGTGTCAAAGGGTTAGCACAGACAAGCTCAAAGAAGGAAGTGCAAACCTCCGGGACTCGCTCCATGCAGAGGCTGTCCTGTGTCACACTCTGGGGCTCAGGGACACCTGTTCACACATGAGGTCACAAAGGCTTGTGTCACCGCAGCAGCTTCATGATTAGCTCCCCACTCCATCCCTCCCACGGCCCCCCCCTGCCCCTCCCACCCCTCTCCAGCCAGAGGCGCCACTGCTGGCTGAGCAGGTGGCTTCTCCCCTCAGAGGGAGGCCCCGTGCTCCCTCCCCCACCCAATTCGCTGCCGCTCTCTTCCTCTGGCATGTGCTCCCCCGGGGACAGGGATGTGGGTCTGTTGTTCCCCGTGGTGCCGTGTCCCTGGATCTGGGACAAGCACCTGGCTCCTGGGGTGTTTCTATTCAGTGACTGAATGGCGTGTAACGTGAATGTGCATGTGTGTGTGGTACAGAGATGGGGCCTTGGGGCTGTTTTTCTCCAGGACGGAATTTCACAGCAAAAAATATTGATTGAGGGTTTCTTGGCACTGGGAGACACCGGCGTGTCGCAGACGGCCTCTGGGTTCAGGGCTCTGTCTCGCCTTTCGTCATGGGTTGAGACTTTCCTTAATAATGGTATGTCTGCCCTTTCTCCCAGGGCCCCTTCGGTCAACGTCCTGAATTCGAAGAGCTCCCTGGCCTTCGGTCACCCCGGACACGCTCCTCATTTATATGACCCGCCCTTGTTGTTGGTAATCGACTTCCCAGGCTGCCTCAGCATAGGCCGGGCTTTCTCGGGTGTTTTCGAACACACACCTCCGTGCACACCCACTTCTCTGAGGTACGTTTCTAGAAGGAAACTCGTGGGGCCGCAAGGCATGCCTATCCGTAAAGCTTGTGGTACGTGTCCTCCTCCAAAAAAGATCGCTCTGATTTGGACTGGATTTTTAAAACAATATGGGGGGGGCGGGGCACGAAAGCAGGCTTACAGTTGTTCTTACGGAATATAATACAGGAATTAATAAATAATAACACATGCATAAACTGTTTCATGTACTTGCAGTTATACACCGGCTTTGCCCCGCCCTGCCTTGTCCATTTGTAGCCCCAGCTGGGACATTTACATGGGCCTGTATCAGGAATAGAGACCACCCACAATCCTGCGTTCCTGAGAAAATCGCTGTTCCTGTTAGGGTTTGAGTTTCCAGACTTTTCCACGAGGCGTAGTAAATATATATGCATATTATATGTAATGAGCATAATATATTTATAGACGTGCATATTAAGGATCTATTATTTTGTACTAATTATAGGATAGGGATATATACACCCACAGTGTCTGTGTCTCCAAGGAGAGGGAGGCAGAGGTGGGTCCCGTTTCTCGCCTCTGCCCCCAGGAGACCCTGCCACGCCACCACCTGTGTGAGACCATGGATGCTCCTCTTGGTGCCACACTAGCCAAGGCTTTGAGTAGCTTTGCTTTTTAAAGTTTGAATTAGAAACACAGTAGAATTTTCCTTTCCATTTTCCAAACATAAAATTACCACATTGAATTCCTCTTTCACCTGGACCCATCTCCCCCAACGTGCTGCCGTATCTGCTGACGGCCGGAAGTTCACTTGGTTTGCTCAAAAGCTGACACTATTGTATCCCTGGTTGGAATGGGTTTTCACTGGCAGAGGGGCTGGGTGGGGGCTGCTGGGGGACCGTGGCGGGAGGGAGTGTGATGGGGGGAGGGGGCTGAGAGGTTGTGCTTGTCTGGAGAATCTGGGGCAGGGGACAGGGGGTGTAAGGCTGGGAGAGCAGGGCTGTGCGGCGCCTGGCCTGGGGGAGGGAGCGCTCCTGGGAGGGCCCTGGG